CTCTCTCTCTCTCTCTCTCTCTCTCTCTCAGATTGCCTTTAAATCAAACCCAAGCACTCCAAAAAAGAAAAAACCGATAGACCACTACATCATCTCTGAGATATCAGCATGGAGAAATCTGTTCAAACCCCTCAACCTCAAAGCCCTTCTTCCTCCATCTCTACCATCTCATTTTCTTTCTCATCCCACACCTCTGTGCCTAAACTTGATGAACCCAAGCAAAAGAAAGCAGGGAAACGCAAAGCAAGGACTGCAAATGCCGACGCCCCTTGTCTCAAAGTAAAGAAGACATCCAACTTCAAAGGAGTGACCAGGTATGAAAGCGAAGATTAGGTTGAAGATAACTTGTTTTCGTTCATGGTTTTTCTGTGATGTAGTAGGTGTTAATGTTTGTGATCATCAGGCACAAATTGACAGGTAGGTTTGAAGCCCACCTATGGGACCGAACCAGCTGGAATGGAAGGAAAAACAAGAAGGGAAGACAAGGTAAGCAGGAGCCCTTTGAGATGTAGATATCATAGTCAATCTATCCTCACGGTCATTCTGTTCTTATATATTCTTTTCTTTTGCAATCGTCATGATCCAATGATCATCTTCGTCTTCCATGGTGTTCACTCCGCACACAGTCTATCTGGGTAAGTTCTGCATGCTTATATCAAGATACTAGATCTGAGAGGCTGTGAATATATATCGTGTAACGTGATGCAGGAGCTTTCAAAGATGAGGAGACCGCCGCCCGTACCTACGATCTCGCCGCTCTCAAGTACTGGGGACCCCAAACCATCCTCAACTTTCCTGTAAGAACTCCTCCTGCGTTATGCGTCCTTGCAAACCCTAATCATTAAGCTTTCTGATGCTGCCGTTCTTACTTGGATTTCTTATGTTGCAGGCACAAACGTATGCGACAGAATACTATATGATGCATCAAATATCAAGGGAAGAGTGTGTAGCCTCTCTAAGGCGCCGGAGCGATGGCTTCTCAAGGGGAGTCTCAAAGTATCGTGGGGTTGCTCGGTAAGAATCGTCATCGGAGAGTGTGTTATCTATAGATCTCTGTATCGGATATTCGATGACTGTAATGACCTACGAGGGTGGAGTTTGGGCAGGCACCACCAGAACGGGCGGTGGGAGGCCAGGATCGGCCATGTCGGCGGCAGCAAATACCTCTACTTGGGAACCTTCGGTATCTCCTTCTTCCCTTACCTCCTCTTCCTGTTTGCTTCACTGTCACCCCTTCGCACAGCATGACATCGCACGTGAGGAATGCATTAAATCAGCACGTCCATGTGGACGTCGCTGCTGCCTAACCGCGTCATCCTCCACCCTCTCCTTTGTTTGGACATGCCTAATTAACGTGCGCAAGGGTTTGCACTCCATGAACCGTTCTTGAGTGCATCGCCTGGGCACTGCAGTACGGGGCTCATGTTTCTGATAGCCATGCAATATGTGCTCTGTGATGGTGACCAGGTTGAAGGCTTAGTCCTTCCATGTTGAAGTCCTTTGATAATATCTCAAAAGGATGGGCATTTGCATGGTTAGAGGGCAACAAGCTTGAACTCATGCTTAATTAGTCATGTAATAGGAAAAGAAGCTCAAGGGAATTGATGTAATACTGGGAATGCTTTGCTTTTCTCTCATTTCTCTCTATGTTATGTATCTGCAAGTGCTTGTTGACAATATTACTAATAAATATTAGGTGTTATATGTAATTTAGATACTCAAATATATGCATGAACTATTCCACAGGCTTCACATTGTCTACATTTCTCATACATATAGTGTTTCCTTTTATTCTGGTGCAGATACTCAAGAGGAGGCAGCACAAGCCTACGATATGGCTGCCATTAAATACAGAGGCAGCAAAGCAGTCACCAACTTCGACGTTGGCCGCTATACTCAAAACCCTAGTTTCCCACAGGCCCAATCATGTCCTGCACCTCCCTTGGAGCTGTTCCCAGAGCTAACTCAGCCCCAGCCCCAGCCTTACTTCTTTGAACCTGCCGACTTCGTCACCCTACACAACCTCGTCCCCCTCCAAGTTACTGATACCGTCGCTGAGATCCCTCTCCTCGACGGCACATCCGGCTTCCCCTTCGATCTCACCGATGGTGATGCCTTCGCCGAGCTGTACACTGGCTTCGACGTCGCCACCTCTCACATGGATGTTGAGAGTAAGTTGTTTGACAGTGATTTATGGCAGACCTTCGAAAGCTTCTTGAAAGAGATCGAAGGTGATGATGCTCTTCTAAGCGTTGGTGGAGCTAGTAATAATGAGCCAAAAGCCTGTTGAAATGCTAAGGATTCAGGCGATGGCGGGGCGAGGACACAGAACGCTCCTAACAATACTTCCTCGGTATGTCTTAGCATAGGATGGATTGAAGTGCCTGTTATGGTCTGCTGTACAACATGCATCTTTGGGATGTTTAGGATATAGATTGTTGTTCTAAATCTAATATTATGATGCAATGTTGTGTAAGTTCTGTAGTCTCTAATACATGTCTTTCTGCAAATACTTGACATGATACAAAGTATAGATTTGACATATATTAGTTACTGCCTTTCTTATTATTCATAATTGTAGCTGTCTCTCTCTCTAGCACAGTTGCATCAAATCTCACGTTTTAGTACACACACACACGTATATATATTATAGAAAATAATTTATTCTTTTATTTTATAAGAGAAGCTCACAATTTTTGTAACTCGATAGTTATGGAATCAGAAAAATGATGTAAAATATATGCATATTTCATATAAATGAATTTAATGGATTTTGGATGGAGTGATATGCTCATTATATTCCATTTTCATTCTTTATCACCCAGGCATAAATAATCTATGTTAATAAATATAATAATTTATTAATTTGTTGAGCATAAATCACTGTTTCAAATTATTTAGGTCCAGAATATTAGTAATAGACTCATCTAGCTCTTAGAAATGAATTCAAATCATTATCCACTTCCAATATAGTAGTAAAGTGAGGTGTTAGTTTCCTTCTTTTTTTCTAATATGAATAATGCGTATGATATACATAATACAATCAATGTATTTTTTTAGTTACACTTATAAGATAATATAAAAACATAAATTCAACTTTAAAATTATGATCAATGAACCGAATTCTCACCTCTATCTTAAGACTATTATTTGATGCAACAATTGTACATTGATTTCAGTTAGTTGGATTTCCAATTATCATACTACAATATATTAAAAGACTAAAAAATATAATATATTTTTTTATTGTTAATTTAACAGTAACACAATTTCCTAGCTAAGGTAATTGGGAATAGTACTTCAATTATAATTTCAAAAGACAAAATTGATAAAAGGAAAGGAGTAAGATAAAGAATAAAACTTTCTTTCCATTGGCTACAATAGTAACAATGCACACATAAAATAAAACAAGAAGTCAAGGAAGTCCTAAGAAATGGAGAGAGAGAGAGAGAGAAAGTGATTAGTAAATATTCACCTTCTCAATCAATAAAAAAAATTAATTTTTACGCAATCTACAATAAGTTTACCTACTGCTATATTATAAAAAAAATTATATAAAATATTTTATTATATATATAGAAAATTCTATGAAATAAAAATGAAATACAATTCATTTCTGTGAAAATGTTATCCAATTTTTCCGCTGATCAAAACGCTGGGCTTTAAGATTTGTGTTTGCGTTTCGGGTTTAGACTTGGTCCAGGTCGAACCGAACCTAAACCAAATTAAACCCGTCCATATAATGCGTTTCCCACAGTATCCAAGCAAAACGTACACCGGGGAGAAAAGGGGTAAAACGTAAGGGGAAGAAAGTTCAGGAGAGACGGCGAATGGAAGCATGCGAGAGGGATTTAGTGGAAGGGATGGAATCCATGGCGGTGGACGAGAGGAGCTCGCGGTCGGCTAAGGTCATCGATCTGCTCCGAAGGTTCCTCGGCGTCCAACAGAGGAGGGCCGAAGCTTACGCCAAGCTTCGAAGGTATCCGTCGAACCAGTTATTTATTGATGCTGCCTCTTTCTATAATCTCTTGCTTTCCGTGGTTTATTGTGAGGATGTGCAATGTTCTTTGTGGAGTATTGATCTTTGACTTGGGAAAAGGCATCTTTACGGAGTTAAGATCGAATTAGGTACGAAAATGCGTTTAGCGGCCAGTTGTCTGCATGATAGACTCCGTGCTTTGTTATGCCTGACGCGTAAAGAAATAAGGGTTTGAGTATTGATACCCTCGAATCTGCACCCGAAAGATATTAATAGGATACTTGTCCTGAAATTTTTAGGCGATGCTAATTATGTGGCCTTATAAATTGAATTATGTTATCACTCATAGAATGCTTTAATCACTCTGATATGCTGGCTTTCTGTTGACCATGATGGGAATGGTGTTGATACTGATTGTGTTATTGCGGTGAGACTACTCCCATTAGAAGAGGGATTTCATTAGTCAAATTTGATATGGTAAAAAATACACTGTATGTTGTCGCTTTGTTCATTTTGTACATCTCGAAATCTAATTTTTTGCATGTTCCACTTTTTAAGTGATGTCTTTTTTGATGCACTAATGGCATGTGCAACTTTAGAATATATGTTCCTTTGCATGTCTTAAGGTGGTGAACAAATCACGGAAGCATGAGTACACTTCTAGGAAATATCGCCAATATTTGTTTTCATATAAAGGTCTCAAGACAGTTCCAATTCCCAAATGATAAAAAAGTTTTATACTAGTAGTTGAACAGTTTTGGCTTTCATCTGTCTGATACTATTGTGAAATATAAAGTGTTTTCCTTCATCTCTCAAAGGATAAGCTACTGGTTTCAGAAACCTTAAGGTTTTTATTTCATTGTCAACAAATAGTTGCTGGTTTCATAACCATGATTAGTTGTTTCTAAGCAACTTTGAGTTGCTTAAGAAACAATATTGCCTGACTTTAAAAACTTTTGATAAGTAACATAGCATAAAGCCTATTCTAACATTATCTACTTGCTTATATATCACACTTTAGTTTGGTTGTCTCTGATGATGTGGTTGAGACTTGTTCGCTTCTAGATGCTTCAGATTGAAGTGTTTGTCTGACAATATTTTAATTATTAAGCTTGCCTGTGTGCGATAAGTACCTCTACCATCAACATCCATTTCTTCCTTGACAAGGTGATGTTATTGCAAAAGCACTGCATCAAGTTGCTTGATTTTATCCACAACTGCTACATCGTAACTTGCAATGAAGATTTCTTCTGTTTTTAGTTGTAATTTTTTTTCGTGAAGGGCATGCTTAGAAATCTTCAATTGGGATAAAGTAAATTAACATCCATTTCTTCCTTGACAAGGTGATGTTATTGCAAAAGCACTGCATCAAGTTGCTTGATTTTATCCACAACTGCTACATCGTAACTTGCAATGAAGATTTCTTCTGTTTTTAGTTGTAATTTTTTTTGTGAAGGGCATGCTTAGAAAGCTTCTATTGGGATAAAGTAAATTAGTTTGTCCTAAAAGACTGGCATTAATTTCCTCCTAAATTGTCTTCACTTATATGATAAGCTGCATATCAGGCACCTTCTAACAATCAAATTCATTAATGCCATATAAATATGATTATAGATTCATATAATTAGTGCCAATAGAGAATGTAATTGGTCTTTCATGGGTAAAATGCATGAGTATCCACGGGTTAGTCAAGATATAATGTGGAAGGTGCCATGAAAGATGGAATTTTGTTGGTCTAGAGCAGAGGCAGCTTCAATGCATAGAGATTCCTCAAGTCTTTTCCATTTTTACCTATTCCAAATAAATTTGGCTTCTATGAAATTTGAGTATGCTTAGAGGTCTGACGACTTGGAAAAGGCTCATTTTTCTACCCATTGGGTTGAGCACTTGAGCTTCGCCTGTTGCTTTCCTATTCCCAACTGGCTATTGGTCATCTTCTTTCTGACCCTCCCTCAATGCCTTTTCCCTTTTTGCTTTTCAATGCCTTATAATATCTGTAAATGCTTAGATTTCAAATATCTACCACTTGCAACACCGTGCCGTTATTTAAGAAATCTTGGCTTCACATTAGAGTTTGTTATAGCCTTTTTTTTCTTGAATTTTGACTAGTGCCCATCATGGTTGAGATTTGTTGACTAGTTGTACCAACTGTGGTGCCTAATTCATGGCACCTGTGTTTCGATCAAGAATAACGGTGGTTGCTATGGTGCTCACCACAAGTGCTCTATCATCAATATGATTCCAACGAGACATGCTTGCAGTAGAATACACTGCACCAAGCATAGTATATGCTGCTGTGTGGCAAACTATTCAAGCACTCAAGAAATTTGTAGCTTATGCTTTTCAAGCTCATCTGCAGAAGAGTCTGTAAATGAATTGGCCAAAACTGAGAAGCTGAACTAAACTGACTCATTTAGTAAAAAACTTGGATTTATATATTGAATAATTGGTTTGGTTTGAGTAGTTGGAAATTGGAACTCTTGGCTCTATGCCGGTTTGATCTTCTAAAGATTATCCAAATCAAACCAAACCAAATTGTGTAGTTGTATATTATTGGGAAACAAATATAGAAACAAAATATTTTTGTTCCATCCACATGCTGTTCGCAATATTATTTATTCATATTCATTCCCAGCCTTGTTTAAACATATTCTAATTATTTTCTGTCATCACAGAGAAAGGCTTACAGTACTATCTTATGTGGTGAATACTTGGTCCTAGTTGCCTTGACCTAACTGAAAATTGATCCCTGATCTTAGAGTCTTATTCTATAATCCTGTTCATCTGATTTATTTCCTTCAGTGGCAAGAGTTCTGATTTTCTTATCACTAGACAAATAAATTTTCTTTCAGGGGATTTACAGAATATATGAGCAATGGAGGAGAGTTGGCCTACCAGCAGCTCTGTAAGGAGATAACAGTAGAGTTCAATGATTGTTCAAAAGAAGTAGGTGGACCTTTTCTTACTGATATTTATGCCTGTGCTCTATGAGCTGAATAAGCTGAATTTATTTTTCCTCCAGGTTCTTGAAATGGAATCTTTGCTTTTGATGCCAGATCTATCCCGTGGTGATCTTGCTGATCTCTTAAAGGCTGTTCAGGCACAGGAAAAACAGAAGCTTCATTTGGTACCCAGACTTTGCCACATGTTCCTTTCTGAAAGCTTTTCTACTAGTAGCTTGATTTGTATATTATTCCGTATGACATATTTGGTATATACCTGGTTAGATACGCATATGACACTAGAAATAACCAAGTTTGTCAGAATGACTTTTTAAACACAACAAAAATTGTTGAGCTGAAAAAGTTAGAAGAGGGAATGTGATTTGGTGATTACCTGCGACATAACGATGCACAATACAAGAAAATTTGACTGATCTATTTTACCGTTAACCCTGAGGAGGTCATGAGCCGTATAATTGAAGTCTTATCACTGTCTGTTTCCCTGATGTCAATTCTTTGAATATTGCAATTTTTTTAACAGAAAGAACTTAATGAAAAATAACTTGCTGTTTTTTGGAAAAAATCACCTTTCATTTTATTTATGTATATAAACTTGTGTGATTAAGAAACCCGCTGATGCTATCCCACAGTTGGAAAGGTTTTGGATAGAGAGGAGACAGCGCATGCTTAAAATTCATGAACTACATTCGTCATTGAGTTAGAGATAAAAAAGCCATGACACTGAGCTGTATAAGTCAATTCTTAAGGTTGGTTGAATAAGATGGCTGTCTGGAATTCAGCCTTTTTTTTTTCATTTTAAGTGTATTATGGATAACATTTAGAGATTGGTGTAATGTATATGGATGTCTTGAAGGGCTACAACCATTAACAATCATATATTCACCTGAAATAATATTACATGGTCTAGTGGCTTTTTTCATTTTTGAAAACTCAGCTGAACAAGGACAATGGCTATATTGACTATTGCCTCAAATATTGCATTATACAAATGTGGTTGTATCCTTTTGAATGGCTTCTGCCAGAGATAATCCTCTATCATGGTGAGTGCTTGGCCCTATCTAGGGAGCAGAGGACTTGGCAAGGCAAAATTGTTTAACTTGCTTGAAACTTTATTTGGGTAGAGATCTTGATAAAACTTGTGGGGTCAATCGGATTCTTTAGTTTGTAATGCAGTTTCCTATTTGGTCATATAGATATTGCACTTGAGTCAAAACTGTTCATGTCTTAAAGTTCTTTTTTTCCATTGCAGAAAGTCATTTTTTTAGTATATAATCTTGATTACCTTAGCTTGAATGCACTCTTTCATTGTTTGGGAATTACATTTGATTAGAAATTCATTTTCATAAAATATACTTGCCATTTGACATAGTGAACTTTTGTCGTTACTTCAAGTAGAAGGTTACTGTAGGAAATTGAAGATTGAGTTTATAATCCAGGGCCTTAATTCTAATTATAAAAAGATGTGCAAAACTGTGTTAAGGACTTGATCTTTTCCGTGTCTCTGTTTACCTGTCATCACACATTCTGCTAATTTTTGCTTTCCTGGTGCCTCTGGTTGCCAAAAGACTGCAAGGATACAGATACTAAAGAAGGCAGGGCGCCCATCAGAGCGGCTGGTCAGCCATGAGAATTGTCGATTCGAGAAGCCAACTGAACACGAATGTGTGCATGTTCATGAGATTACCGAAGCCGCTGGAACTGAAGATGCTGAAGCTGATGCCGAGTATGATGGTGCGCTCAAGGAAGCCATCTGTGGCGTGCAGGATGCAGTGACCAACATAAATGAGCACTTGGAGGAGGTCCGTTATGAGATCGAGGCACTTGAATCAGAATAACTACTAATCCCCACACAGCAGCACCATACCAATCTGGTTCTGGCTATATAAACCCTTGGTTACCTTGTTCATCTAGTAGTGCTTGTTTTTGGTACAGAAATCAGACCAGATATGAGCACAATGTTTATATGTCCTTTATACTATCCTCGCCAGCAAGTTCTGTAAATTTTTCATCAGTGTCTGTGCTTGTTCTATTTGTGTTTCAGTGCCCTTAACAAATTGTTGCAAGAAATGATAGATTCACTGAAATAGAAAGTTGGAACTCTGTGAAGGTTGTAAAAAGATGATGATGATGGCTCAAACGGGCAGCAGAATAGAATAGTTTAAAATTGTGCTTGAATTCAATTCGTTTACATTAATATATGTGAAAATCTTTTGACAAGTTCTGTATATAAATCATCAAACTCTCCATTTGTTTGATGTTTTTTATGTCAAATATGTAGTGTATGATTCCAATATGTGCCAACCTCCAATATAATTTATAGGAAGCTGCTATGTTTTGCATCAAGGAATGTGTAAATGTAATGAATTATCATCATTATTATTGTTATTATTATTATTATGTAATGCATTTTTTAATAGTTTTCAAACACTAATGTCCCACTGGCTGTATATGTAAAAACAAACATGTAGAAGGGTGTTATGGTAATTGAAAGCACGCTCGCTATGTGATTCCTCCTCCCCGCATAAACATCTTTATTCCGCTTTTGAACTCCGCCATAGTCCCGTGCCTCTTTCTTTCTTTTCCCCGGCTCGTGGTGAAAGAGGAAGAGGAAGAAGAGGCGGAAACCTCGCGTCTTAAGAGATCTCAGGTACTTTTCTTTCTTTCTTTGCCAAATCCTGTTTTCGTTTCTTCACCTCTGTTTTCGTCCTTGTTTTTGTTTATCCCTTACGTTTTTTTGTAAATTTCTCTGTTTCGGAGATACTCGATCTGGTGTCCTAAGAGCCAGTGACCGCGGTTTCCTTTTTGCTGTTCGATCTCGTCTCTTCATTGTTTTGTTGCTACAAATCTTAAAATTCTCCTTGATCTGATGTAGACCTGGTTTCCGTAATATCTTTTTCTTCAGATCATGGTTCCGCGCGACTATAGTTTTCTCTCTCTCTCTTTGAACTCAGTGGCTGGTGAACTTTTTGTTGATGTTAATGCTATGGATCTAATAGATCGGAAAGAATGGGGCTCACGTTCGCTAAGCTCTTCAGCCGCCTCTTTGCGAAGAAGGAGATGCGGATCCTCATGGTTGGGCTTGATGCGGCCGGTAAGACGACCATCCTGTACAAGCTGAAGCTCGGGGAGATCGTCACCACCATACCCACCATCGGTGAGGATTACTTGCCTCAGTTTATCTTTTTTATTGAACCAAGTTGACGTGAAATGAAATCGCCTTTATGCTTTGATCCGTGTCTATCGATTTTTGATGCCATTTATATTGCATCGATCCTTTTTTAGTCAACTGTCAAAGTCATAAATCTCATCTTAAAATAAATAAATAAATAAATAAATAAATAAATAAATAAATAAATAAATGTATATATAACTGAATTTGTACTTTTGCTAAAAAAGAAAAGATTGTGTTCGGAGGTTCCTTGTTATTGTGATTTTATCTGTTTAATTATATCTCATTCCAGTTCTTAACAGAACATTCAGCTTATGCAGAGCCACACGAGGTGCCACTCAATTTTCTTGAATGATTAGAGATATTATACTACATAGAGCTCAAATAGTAGGGAAAGATACATGCAGCTGAATCCAGATAATTAGGACATTATGGTTTGTTGTTGCTGTTGTTAACATATTTATATAAGAGATGCAACCATGTTGTTCTGAAATTTTTCTGATGTACATGAATGTAAAAGATGCAACTGTAATGGTTAATACTGCTTATTACACATATGAAGCCATAGAATTGAAGGCTATGGCCTTATTACATGCATGTTTTCCCTCATATGCTGTTGGTTTGGCATGGTAGCTTCTTTGATTTGAATATTGTGAAACAGAAATCAAATTGTGTAAGAATGTTGTGCATCTACTTGATGTACTTGTTATTGTGTGCTTCTTAATGCAGGATTTAATGTGGAGACTGTAGAGTATAAAAATATTAGCTTCACTGTCTGGGATGTTGGTGGTCAGGATAAGGTATGTGAATACCTGTTCATATTTTTTTATAATGCTTGAGAAGTGGTTAATTTTGTGTCCATCATAAGAGGTCTACTGACATAGACTGATATTTGACTCAGGGAAATAGGTAGAATAATTGAATGATATTGGATAAATTTCTGCCTTAAATGCTGACAAATCCTGTGTTAATTCAAAATACAAAATAGTTTATGCCACACTCGTACCATATATTCTTGTAATTGAGCCTTGCCTCATCTGCATAGCTTATCACATATTAACTTATGTTATCTGATGTGGCCATGTGGAGAACAGATTAGACCTTTATGGAGGCATTATTTCCAGAACACACAGGGCCTTATTTTTGTTGTCGACAGCAATGACAGAGATCGTGTAATTGAGGCAAGGGATGAACTTCACAGGATGCTTAATGAGGTAAGTTCTCCATGCAAAATGTTTTTGTTTTAGAGTCTTGGATATTGGTTTATCTTTATGTAGCAGTGACTCGGAAAACACTAAATTCCATTTACTATTTAGTTACACAGTTATGGCTTATAACTATGTTATACTGCTATGATCTAACTGAATTGCTTGTAAAACACTTGATTTAGTTAGATACTCCTAACCAGAGTTGTCTATCAAATATTTGTGTTCCTTGTGAATTATTAGACACATATGGGATGTACTTTTGTGTTTTCTACAATTTCTCTTTTAACATAAATTTTGGGATTAAAAAGAATGCTTTTATTTTAATGTCTATCATACCTTGTGCATCTTAAGCAAGGGTGGATCTATGTGTTATCTAAGAAGTCCATGGCTGACCCATCTTTGTATCCCTACCTTATCCCATACATATATGTAACAGAAATATTTAAATTTTCTGGTAATTTTGTGTCCTTTACAAGAGTGAGTTATGAGAGACCAACCACATTTTACCCTTGTGTCTCTACACAATTGATACAATCATCACTTTTTATTTTGTATTATGACCTGTAAATTTTTATCCTCTAATAATTAGTTTACATTTTATTCTGTTTCACAACTTCTATAGAATTTTATCTTCTAACACTTCCTTCTACAAGGTAACATACATCTTGATGTTAGCATAATATTCATTGGCATAGTCCAAGTCAAAATTTATTTTGGCCAGTCTCTTGTTCTAAATCCTACTTACAACCTTGGCAACTATATGTTGATTTTAATTCAAGTAAATTAAAAGGTTAGTAAAAGCAGTCTGGTATATTTATGATACATTGTTCATGTCTGTATTATACTTCACTTGGTCTTTGAAAAAGCATCTCATAAACAAATTTATTAGTAATGCTTTTTAATCAGTTAATCATGCTTATGGCAGGCATGGAAACAGAAGTCGTTGCTTATGCCTTCACAAACTTTAAATGTTTATGACAAATGATCATTCTTCTCTTGTACACTGAGAAAGTGTCCTTTGTACTGTTGTATCTATGGTTACCTAATAATCTAACACAACATCGCAATATCCTGTAGTCAAAGACATTCAATAATAATTGTGTACTGATGGTACTGTCCTGATACGGAATATTGTAGCATCAAGGACTGTCTTTAAATATATTGATGTTATACTTTTTCTACTCTACATAATTTATATTTTCTGTGATCATTGTAGGATGAGTTGCTTGATGTGTTTCTACTCTGCATAATTTTTTTTTGTGATCATTGTAGGATGAATTGCGTGATGCAGTCTTGCTTGTTTTTGCTAACAAACAAGACCTGCCAAATGCTATGAATGCTGCTGAGATTACTGATAAGCTTGGTCTGCATTCCCTGCGTCAACGCCATTGGTATTATAATCATTCTCTTAGCTGAAGAGTTAATAATTTCTGAATTTGTTTTAACTTATCTACAAATAATAATATATTTTTTTATCATTGCATCAAATTCTTAGTTAAGATGATGGTAAGAAACAGAATTTTTTTTCATTATAGTAACTTGTTTAAATAAATTATGGGAATGTTAAGTAATTAATGACCTGCTTGATCAGCGAGTTCTAATTCTTGAGGACCTTAATCCTGTGGTTATATTAGATTTCAAACCTGTATCCAACTCTTTCTAAAAATGTCAAGTTAATTAATGATAAAAAAACCAAGAACAGAGATTGCACAAACCTCCATCACTTTATTTATTGTTGTTTCATGACTTTGCCATGCTGCAATATTACATTAACTTTGCTATTTGATTAGCTGAAGTCTCTGTAATATCATAAAAAGATGATGTTTGATGATTGCTCAACCAAAACAAAAGTTCCACACAAACGGGATAATTTTGCTCTGCTGCAATTTCATTCAGGTACATACAAAGCACCTGTGCTACCTCTGGTGAGGGTTTATATGAAGGGCTTGATTGGCTATCTAACAACATAGCTAATAAGGTATTTTCCATCATTTTCTGCATCACCATCCTATTTCTAATTCTTTCCACTTTACTTGTTTATCTCTGCTACAATTAGATTGTCCTATGATCCAGAGTTTTGTTTTCTTCAGTGTACTTGGAATGGGTTATCTTTAACTCCAAGTTTCTTTAATTATCTGTGCTATCAGGCTTAAATTATGACTTATAGAAGATGAAGCAACAGGAACTCCCATATCTACGAAGCAGTCGTGTTCCCTTCTCTCCTGGACGCTTTTGGTACTCTTTTGACCCATAAAACTTTTATCTCGACTTGTGCGAATGATTTCAGGTATCTGTTGGCTACCTGTGCTTTCTATATATGCATATGTATGGTTTTCTAGTCCATTTCTTGGCAGAATTTTGTTATGGCTTATGAATTTACTTGTTAGATTTCTATGTTCCTATCGCAGTTGCTTTGGTTCTCGGATCCGCATGCCTCATCTGCATGTACACAAATGAATTCATTTAACCCCAAACTCTATTGTTGCACGATATTAACCCTAAACTCTAGGCATCTCCTTGGGAATTGATGGCAATATGAATTGTAGCATCTGCATAATATATTATATGGTGAAAAATTTAAGACAAAGCAACCCCAATTTCTGAATAACATTCATGTATCCACCACAATTTATTTGCCTTCACCTCATTCTTTCTAAAGATCCAGATTTGTCATGTCCAAACAATTACTTTGCGTCTATGTATATATATATATCACTTTACTTGCTGTGTGTGTTTGAGTGAGGCATGGCCTGTGGAAGAGTGGATACGGAGCTTTCTGATGAAAGCAATACGGTAACAAATAGACGTAGGAAACAGAGAAAACTACTGGCTGGCCATCAGTGGCACGATAATTAAGGACAGGAAGTGAGCATGCAGAAACGTATGGTCTCCATCTCACGTCTTTTCTCGCTCTCAATGTGCCCCAACTTTTCTCTTCGGTTGCCTCTCCAACTCGTCGGGAGAGAACCGTTTAACAGTAAGGATAGATTTTTTTTAAATTTCATTATATTCAATAAATCCTAATAAACCATGACAAAATTATTTAAGAATTAAATTTTGTGGATTTACATATAATCTTTATTGACAAATAATCTTAATTGTATACATCAGTAAAGGGGGATGATGATTGTAATGCTGTGACTGTTGTACTCGTGAAATGGTGTCTTATATATCTCTGTTTTCTGTTTCGTTTAACATCAATTTTACCTGAAACTTGTGTTTTCAGTGTAATGAAATTTAACATCAAGATAGCTTGAAGATTAACCTGTTTTCTATGTAAAGATTGTTTAACATTAAACTGTTTTTTAACATAATGCCTGTTTTGATATCAGTGTAACCCAAACCTAATTTGTTCAGCACCAGCATGACTTTACCCACTTTCCACATAAAATATGTTTAAATATCAACATACCTTTAAATTTTAATATATCTTCAACCTACTTTTTCAACATCAATATGACCCATGAAAACAGATCTATTTTAGCATAAAGTCTAAGCAGCATACCAGCATAGCAAACATATAACTTGGTTTTGACCTTATAGCTATGAAGTCAACCTTGAACCTGGACAAAATTAGACTCACCTGTAAGTTCTAGTCATAGAAATAAATGTTTCACTTTATTTTCTTTAAGTGATCTATTTACTTGTGTAGTTACGAAGTATCTTTTTTCTTATGAAGATCATATTTTCCTTTTAACCATTAAATATACATCCTTTTAGGGTGAGAACATAGAACATAAGGCTCACTCATGGTCAATCATCTACTAAGATGCATCAACGAGATGAGAAATAGTACTTCTACATCAATACTTCTGTTGGCATTGATGCTATCAAATAACAATTTCTTGACCAATGGACCAACAATGAGAGGTAGCTTGTGATTATCCACAACAAAGAGAATCTTAGATGAAAACAAGTTCAGCAACACAGTCAACGCTCATCTTGGGGAATATTAAATCTTCTATCAGATCTGGCTTTGTTTTCAACGCTCATCAGACTTAGCTTTTTGGTTATCAGCATTATAAAGATATCTAGGTAGATACAGTGCTGAGGAATCCAAGGGTTATCATCCATCTTCTAATACTATACTGTAGACACTCTTACACGTGTTTTGCTCTCTTGAACACCTCTAGCTTTTCACTTCCAAGCACCAAGTAAACATGAGGTTTTGGGGCATTGAGCCAAGAAATAACAATATTGAAGTATTCATGCATCACCAAAGCTTCCTTAATTGTTTATTGATCTGCCAAGTGGAGTGTTTCTAAAGATTACACACTAATATGTTGTTCATCTCAAACTTATCTTTTTTAGGAAAGAGAGAACAATGATCATAGCAGGTGAACATCTTTGTGTACCTAATATTTTAGCTTATAGCACAAAAGCCTACTCTAGAATTCTTGATCAAGTATGGTCAATGAAAAAAGACAGAACAACACATTCCATAACTGATTATTTATTCATGGTTTTCTTGCTTAAAATAAAGAAGAAAAAGGTTCAATCTATCATCCATCATCGTAACTAAAATCATTTTTCTGTATTAACATGGGATGAAATACAATGAATAGGTTGCAAGCCAGAACATATTGCAACAAAATTAAGTGGGCTGTCTCCAATACGTTGCAGAGGATCTCTGATTAGATTCTTCACTACCATTTATGAAAAAAAAAAAGAGAGAAGAAAAGGATGAAAAACAGAAGTGAAATATGAGAGGATAAAAAGAGAATTTTTTTATATCAAGAGATATTAAAAAATAGTTTGAAATATAAAAATTTTATGAGATTTTAAAAACTAGAATACCCCCACTAATTTTTCTTTATTTTATTTTTATAGATCTCTTATACCTGGAATCCCTCGAACACTTAATTAATAAGTCACAATTTAATAAAAGTTAAGAATAAATTAAATATTGATATTGTGTTTAGAAATTATCGTGTTAAAAATTAAACATTGAGTTTGGTCGACATGTTGGAGATTGGATCATGCTATAGGTATTGGTATCAGAAGGATCAAATATTATGTCAGAAGATCAGATGTTGAAGAAAGTCAATATGCCAATAAAATGGATGATTTGCTGAATGATGTTCTGGAGGTTTGAATGAAGTATTATAAGATATGATGATATGCTAGAAGAGTAGATAATATACCGAAAGCTTGAAAGATGTGCCAGATGAGTGGTTGATTTGTCAAGGTCTATATTGAGGTTAGTTTGAGCCAATTTGAATTGGTACCAGGCCAAAACAAAGATAACTTATCAAGAAATCAATTGAGCTTGAAAGTGGGCTGAATTGAACATGTTCGAAGGTCAAACTAGTGGCCTAAACGAACATGTGATGATGCTATTGCTAGCATAGAATTATGACTGTGTCAAAAGTTACGATGGTAGTATTACTCAGTGTTGATTGTAGTACTGCCCATGCTTTAAAATTTCAAGGATTTAAATTTTTGACTCTATTTTTGAAGCCTCTTAGGGCCTATATAAATACCTCAGCTTGTTGATGGAGCATTTATTCATAAGCTATTGAAATATTGTAAACTCTTAATTTGTGCATAATTTGAGTCTCCTCTTCTTCTTAAGTTTGGTTGAAATTCTAATTTATATTAAGTGAGAGATCTCTTATAAAAAGGGAGTATGAATGTTATCTCCTAATCTTGAAAAAAAAAGAAAGTTATAATAAGGGTAGTTGATCTTCACTTATTGGAAAGGAGATAGAAAGTGAAAGCCGATGGCCTCGAGGAAAGAGAAATCGAGAGTGGAAGTAGATCGGAGAGATTGAATCACTATAAATTTGTTTGTTTTTCTTTATTTGTTCTTTACTTGTGATTTAGTTTTATTCTCTTTATTCGCTATTTTAACTTAGTCAATATGAGTTTTCGAAATATGTTAATTTTTTGATCAAGTTTTAAAATCGATTAAAAATACTATTACTCTAATTCACTCTATGCTCTTAGTATCAGATCCTAACAATTAGTGTTAGAATAAGGTTCTCTTAGTTAAATTAACACATAGGAGAGATCTAATAGCTTTTTCATATAATTAAGAGGATCACTTCATCACTCGTACTTCTATGTTCAATGGGATGAACTACACTTATTAAAAAAATAGAATGAAAATTTTCTTTCTTTCTATATATTTTGATTTATAGAATATTTTTGAGTTTGATCTTAAAAAATCTTCTAAATCGATGGATGAATGAAATAATTTTGAAAAGAAAATATTTTCTTTAAATACTAAAGCTATGAATACTATATTTTATTTTTTAGATAAAAATGAGTTCAATCAAATTTCTACATATGATATATAACACTCAAAGTCACTTACAAGACACAAGCAAAGCAAAAAAATCTAAAATTAATTTTTTTATTCATACTTATTAGTTATTTAAATTGAAGCAAAGTAAATTTATTGGTGATATGCACACTTATTTTACAAATATTGTCAATAGATTAAAATCTCTTAATAAAAATTATACTAATCTTGAATTAGTGAGTAAGATTTTAAGATTTTTTTTCTAAAAGCTAGGATTCTAGCAACAATTAAAAAGCTAAAGATTTGAATAACCTTTCTATTAAAGAACTCATATGATCTTTAATAACATATGAAATGACATGTAATATATGATAAAAAAGGGAAGGATATTGCTCTCAGATCCAAAGAAGATTATTCGAGTAAAAGTCAGGTGATGATAATAAAGACATGACACTTGCTCTAAAAAGATTCAAAAATTTTATGAGAAAAAATAAGACAAATCTAATAAGAAGAGAAGAAACGAATAAAAGTGAAGCTGAACCCAAGAAAGATGTAATCATATGTTATAAATGCAAAAATTTAGGATACCTTAAAAATAAATTCCAGAATTGAATAAGAAGCCATCAACCAAAAGAAGAAAAAAATATTTAAGGCAATATGGGATAAATCAAGTAAGTTAGAAGTGAACGAGTAAATTAATAAAGAAAAATTAACAAATAATACGTTGATGATGGCTTTATCGCATGAAGAATTACTTAAAGATATTTCATGATTCATATGATGAACTCTAAAAGATTGGTAAGATTGGAATTATGCATCATATATCGGATTATGATAATAGTGATTATTACTTTAGTTACCTTATACATCAAAACATAATTGATATATTTAAAAAGGATATAATACTTTCATATGAAAGCTTGATTACTAGACTTTCACATGCACACAACATAACCATCTCATTAAATGAAAAAAGAATCACATATTTTTGGTAGAGCCATAAGTGATGAAAAGTTTTCTCTACCTAAGTCTCATATCTATTACAAAGTAGTAGGTCACTCTAAAAATAAATATAACATAAAATATATCAACAATTAAACATGTTAGTGGAAACCTTCAAAAAATTATAAAAATAATCTTTAATATTCATAAA